AAAAAAAAAAAAAAAAAAAAAAAAAAAAAACAGAGAAAGATCGAGAGAGAGATGAAAATAAACCCAAAAAGTTAACAAAAATACTACCTAATTCAGAATTCGCGACACGAACATAAAGATCCGAACCCGACTCATCCGGATACTTCTGAGTATCCATCAAGGACCCACTCCAAAACAGACAACCGAGGCCCGCGTACGTATACGCCACACACGAACAATTCACTAGGCATCGGGCCCTGCACTCGCTTCTCGGGCCTGTCCATCTACTCGAGTAGCCCGACATTTTCATCATCTCGAGCTTCAAGAACCCATCGGGCCTGCTCCCGTTGGGCAATAACTCGCAGCCCAATGGGACTCTTCTCACGCACCCGCTGGACCAATTGCCCAAGGCCCATTCCGGGCTGTTATTCGGGCTGAAACCCTGCAAACACTTGCATGGGATCACGTCGTTCGGGTTGCAGCTGCCGAAAGGTCCACAACGGCACGGGTTGCCGGAGGTGTTATTAGAGTTTGTTTGAGCCGAACAAGGGCCCGAATAGGAAGAAAATTGATAAAGAATTATTATTATTTGAAGAAGAATTGGATATTTATGAGTATTTTTAGTTTTGGCCATTATTGTGGTGTTGTGAAATGTTGTTTGTTCTTCTTATTGCATGGAGAGAGAGTTTTATTAGACGTTTTGATGTATTTTTGCTGTTGATTTATTGTTACAGTAAATTATGAAAGCTGAGCTAATTGAGTTGACTTATAAGAATACTTCTTCTTTGTGAAGTGTCACATCTTTGAATAATATTTTGATGGATTTTCTTTCATAAAAACGAAATAATTTGTTTTCCTTTGAACCTGAGTCAAAGTTGAACCAAAATACTAGTATCTATTATGGAGAAATGTTACAGTCTTGTTACAGAACTATTTTGTCGAGATTAGTAATCGTTAGAGCATTATATAATTGTCGTGAATAATTAATTTAATGATTGCAAACTCCGACAAAATAATTCCGTACCGAAATCGTAGAATGCTACTGTTATACCCGTGAAACGGTCTTTAACTCTGAAGACAACTTTTTTCTAGTTGTCCTCAAGTTGGGCATTGGCCCCGCACTTTCCACTGGCCGCTGTAAATTGACTTGCATATTTTCATGCAAAATTATAAAAAGAAAAAGAAAAAGCCATCAATTATATAATAAAATCATTTATTACTTTAATTGGAAATCAAAATTCAACTTTTGTACACCAATCTCATATCAATTAATTGGATGTGGACATAGAATTCTCACAAAAAATTTCAATATTTTAACTCAACCATTTTTTTAACTCAATTTTAACTCAACCTCACTATCATCAATATTATCACTATAATAAAATAATATCAACCAATCATTTTTATACATCACATCAACCTTAATTCACTATTCACCCACTCATATTATTTTAACTAACAATCACATCAAATTTTAATTATTTTATTTTAAATATTATTTTAATATACCCACTAATAATTAATTATACTACATTTTTCAAAATTAACCAAACCAAACAAAAAAAATCCAACAGAAACAAAAAATTTTCATATCCAAACATGCTCTAAGACATGTTCATGAACTTCAAATTCATAATTAGTTAAAACATATTTAGTTAAGGTAATTTTTTACTACATTAAAAAAAAAAAAGAACTCTTTGATAGCTTGCACCGTTTTAATAGCCCGCCTGAGGGGGCGGGTTAGTGGTTATTTCACGACAACGCGGGAGTATATCACCCCCGGTAGATCGTGATCAAGCGTTAACAATATCGCTTTATTTTTTTTGTTAAAAAAAAAAAAAAAAAAAAAAAAAAAAAAAACTCTTCTTACAAGTTAGAATACATTGACTTTGTCAACAAGGTTGAGTCATCCACAATGAAAAAGGTAACAGTTAAAACTCCACAATTTCAACGTTGACTCACCCCCTTGACGTTGACTTTGATTGACTCAAATTCTCCCCAAACATTCTTACCCTTACATATAATTTACCACATTTAGGAACCAAACAAATGACAATCTTAACACCTATATATAAATATACACTGCACTTTTTAGTTACATTCAATACAAACAATTAAGTGTGACAACTATCTTAAGAGTTAAGACTTTACCCAAAAAAATTAAAAAAAAAAAAAATTAAAAATTAAAAACAGAGTAAGACATAAGCAAAGAACCAAAAAATGGGAGTCATTCATTCACTAAATTATTAGCAACTGAATAGTTTAATATGAATTTTGATAAAATGCAGAAAAAAATATCTTTATAAAACTCTGTTTTAATCAGATTGAACAGGTCTATGGTCCTTAGAAACCAGTCAATCCTAACTACTGAGAACTTAATAATAAGGCTAATTAATTTGAGGTGCTGATGGTTTATCGTTAGGCGGGTCGATCAGTCATACTTCTGTAACAAAAATGTTGTTTATGTAATGAAATGACGTCATTTTCTTCTTTTATGTTATTTTTTATAGTATGACAACTCGATTCGAAAAGTATGAACATATGTTGAAAACCGTACGGTTGTTAACCGTTAGGCCTACCTAATGGTATAACCTTATATCATCAATGAAGAAACCTACCCATATTGAAAACATAACACAAAAACAACACACCCATGGTCTACACAAGCAACACCAAGCTCAAGACAAAACCTACTCATATTGAAAAAAAATACTACCTCCTATTTTTAATATATGTCATTTGGAGAAGTTGCAACGTTAATTAAGAATATTTTTTTTGTCAGTAGTAACCTTATTTAATGAAGATAGAGATGAATGTTTTCAGAAAAAAGTGAAGAGTGAATATTAAAAGATGTAATACATTTATTAGGTAAATGAGGGTAATAATGGAAAAATATGTAGAAAATATCCAAAACGACATTTATTTGACAAATAATTGATAAAGCTATAATGACATTTAAAAAAAAAATAGGAGGGAGTAATTGTCTAACCGTTAGACCTGAAAATATATAATTGTCTAACCGTTAGACCTGGCAATAGCCTTATTGAGGCAATGGACATTACTAGAGACTCAAACTTATCTTGTATAAAGCCATTTACACAAAAAACAAAACCTTTTTCTTCTCATAAAAACAAGAATATTCTTCCTTATTTTTCTCAAAAACATAGGATAAGCAAAGCAGTGCCATCCCACAGAGGTACTGCATATGTTATACAAGTAGCTTTCCTCTTCATTATCTCTCTCTACTCAACAAGACTATTTGTACATTGTATTTTACAACACAACAAAAATTAAAATATTGACATATATAGAATTCTATATGTATCACTTCAACTTGGAACACTCTTTAACATCACTTATTTGAATAGGGGTATTATTATAGCTTCACCGCCCGTCGAGCATCGTGATAGTCAACTCGTTGACCGAGAACCCGAACTGGCCGGTTGGGTGAGTGGACCCCGCGTGAGAACGGTCCCACCTTTCTGCAAAAATGGGCTGCTCGGGCAGCGGCAAATCAACTATCTCACGACTCAGCATAGACAAAACGGTCTGAACTGCTGGCCTGTCTTTAGGGAATTCTTGGACACACAAAAGCGCAATATGAATGCACCTCACGATATCCGACCGGAAATCTGGATTAGCCACCGAACGATCCGCGAAAGCCATGCCATTGTCCTCATTCCATAATTTCCATGCCTAAAAAAAATATTGTTTTTGCAAAAAAATGAATGAGTAATAATGTACCGGGATCTAATAAGCTAGCTCATGAGTAATTTTCGAGCGTACAACTCACGACTTATAGCTGAAAAAATAGATTATATGAATAAAAGTGTGGTAACATTAGTTGATAAACTAGTTGAGATAAAAATATTCAACGAACTTATTTAAAAAACTACCCAAAAAAACTTATGAGATAAGTTTTCTTACTAAACGGAATTTATTTGAATACTGACCAAACATAGCCTTAAAAGTGAATGAATTAAATTCAGAAATGGCTTACACATCCTAAAAGGCTCAAGGACCATTCTTGATTGTAATACTGCGTGTTCTTTTTCCCGCTTATAATCTCCAACATCAATACTCCGAAACTGTAGACATCCGATTTCTCAGAAAACCGGCCCTCCATTGCGTATTCCGGCGCCATGTATCCACTACGAAAAGAAAATTCACCGTATATTGATTTATCGATAATAAATTTTTAGCATTTGCGATTGACTCGAATTTTCAAAAGAAAAAAAAAAACACGCTTACTAAGTCCCGACAACTCTAGCCGTGCTAGCTTGATCTTGGTTGCCTCCGAATATTCTCGCCATCCCGAAATCAGAAATCTTCGGGTTCCAATCCTCATCGAGCAACACATTGCTCGGTTTTAGGTCACGGTGAATGATTTTCAATCTCGAGTCTCTGTGAAGATACAAGAGCCCTCTCCCGATACCTTCGATGATACTAATCCGCTTTCCCCAATCCAGAATCTTCTGAGATGGATGCGTTGGATCTAAATGAACGAAAAAAAATAAAAAATAAAAAATAAATAAACAAAAATTGCTCGAAAAATTTACAAACTCAAAAAAAGTATTAGTTTTTACTTTTTACTGACCAAACAGACAGAAGTCCAAGCTTTTATTCGGCATGTATTCGTACACGAGCATTTTCTCTTCTTGTTCGACACAACATCCAACTAACTTGACGAGATTCCTATGTTGGACTTTGGAAATCACAACTGCTTCATTCCTGAATTCTTGCATCCCTTGCCCTGAAGCTGCCGAAAGCCTCTTCACAGCAATTTCCTTCCCATTCGCAAGCTTTCCCTTAAAAAAAATAAAAAATAAAAACATGCAAACTATCAATTAATCCAATCCGAGATATATAATCAATAATCATATACGAGTGCGAAAAGTAATCACGAAAACTAAAGAATGTACCTTGTAAACATATCCAAAACCGCCCCTCCCGAGCATATTCTCATCGTGAAATTGATTAGTCGAGTCAGCAAGTGTCTTGAAAGTGAACAATGGGAGTTCTTGAATGCTTACTTGCTCTGACTCGTCTTTCAACACAATAGCAGTCGAGTCGGGTTGAAATGTTTCTACCTTCTTTTGGTCTTTTATTATTACTCCCTTTCCTGATCAAGAGCATTAATCAAAGTACACACACGGTTAGCTCAAGGCAAGATATCAGCATTTTGTACGGTCGTTACGAACTTACGAATAACTCATTATATATACATGACCGGCTTTTTACTTACCCTTTTTCTTCGCCATCCACCACCAACCGAGCAAGACGAAAATCAATATCAAAGCGACTCCCCCGACCACAAGTGGAATGATTATAACCAATCTCCTGCCATGGTTTTCATCTGCAAAATTCAACACGAGAAAAATAATAATACTAAAACCAAAATTTGATCGATTATCTACCAAATTTTCAATCACTACACGGGTAGAACGAGTTGGGCTATGTTTATCAAACTAGTTGATAGCTGCTGATAAACTAACTTATAACTTATAATTGATTTTCGAGCATATAGATTATAACTTATGACTTATACCTGAAAAACTAAGTGATAAGCTAGCTGAAAATTTTCAACGAGCTTATTCCAGAAGTTACCAAATGAAGCATATGAGATAAGCTCAAGTTTTTTTTTTTTTTTTTTTTTCTTACCAAACGAAGCTTATTAGACTACATGAAACTTATAATCTAACTAAATAAACTACAAACTAGCTTAATTGGTTATGAACATTTTTATTCATCAAAAAACAAGCATTGAAAATATAAATGTAATTTTTTTTCGAATCACCGCACAAACATACCAAACTCCGATGCAGCGAGACGAATGTACATAACCGCGCCAACCCCATTAAACTGTTGAATGTCGACTAAAGTTTCCCTCCAAAACATACAACCGATGTTCGTGTCGTGCGAGTACCCCAAACACGAACAGTTCCCGAGGCACCCGACCCGGCAATCCTCTTCGACCCGACCCGGGACCTGTTCGGCAAAATCAGGCACTTTCATGTTCGGCATCCTCAAGAACCGGTCAGCACCACACCCGAGCCCGGCCCGTCTCGTGCACCCGCTCGTCCAATTCCCATTGGCCCACTCGTCTCGATTCACTGGCTCGAACCCTTGCAAACAAGAACATATGGGCGAACGAAGCGGGTCGCAAAGCCCGAAAGGCCCGCATGTGGAGTAGAGATCACAGGGGTTCTGTGGGGCCACCCAGACGATATCCCAGCTCCTCGTCTCTTCAGTCCAGAGGGTTTGGACCAAACTTCCGGTCGAGTTCACGTCGATTTTCATTAAAAACCGGCCGGTCGGGACATAGAAGTAGTAATTACCTGAGTCATTTCCGACCTGGAAGCCGTCGAGGTACGGCGAGTACATGTCCTGGACGCCGATGAGGATAAGCCCGTTCCAGGGCCCGCTGCGGTAGTACGGGCTGCCGTTTCTCCAGGTGAAGATTTGGGGAATGTTGCGGGCCTGAAGGCCGGCGGTGAAGTCTCCGACGGCCGGATCTGAAGGGTTTCGCCAGGAGGAGGTTCTTACCCGCCGGCCGGTGATTACGTCGTCAGTGAGGTTCATGGTGGGGACGAGGAAGCTTGTGGGGTGGGTGAAGCTGTCCCAGATTACGGATCCGGTGGAGTTTAACCGGAGGACGAGGTTGCCGGAGTCGAGAATCTCGGCGGTGGTAGCGACGGCGGCGGAGAGGGGTGAGATTGAGGGCGGGAAGGTGGCGTTGGTGGACCAGAGGGTGCGATTGAGGCCGTCGGAGAGGACGAGGTTACCGTCGGCGGAGATGGAGACGCGGCCGGAGGTGTCGGTGAGTGGGGTGGCCCGGTTGGCGACCCATATGACGGAGGTGTTGTCGACGACATGCGATATGGCGAGGTAGCGGCGGGTAGTGTTCGCCGGCGTGAAGAAGCCTAGCCGGAAGATCCGGCCGGCGGAGATGAGGGATTGAGGGTCGGCGAAGGGGGAAGTTGGGGTGAGTGTGGAGGTCTGAGCGTGGAGGCCGTGGAGGAAGAAACAGAGTATCAGAAACAGGGGATTTTGAGGGAGAAGATTGAGGTTTTTTGGTCGGAATCTGATCATGGTATTTTTCGTTTTCTGTACTGAGTGTGAACAAAAAAAAAAAAAAA